CAATAAGCGATATTTAAACCTAACTGACTAAAGCGAAAGCGAAAATACCATTTTCCTCCTGATTTAAAGAAGATTCTGCCGATTCTCTTATTTTTGTTCAGAAGGGCATGAGATGATCGCATGATAGGAAATACGGACGATTGCTGTCGACCTGCTGTTGCATTCTATTAACAGCCAAAGTCGTTCCTGTACTGTTCTCTGTCGCCTTCTCGATGAATTTTAGAGTGCAGCAGCTGGCTTGTGGATGTTCTTTCGTTCTGTGGATTTCATCTCATCTTCATTTCTGCCAAATTCGAAATTAATTGCACCACTCTGTGGAATAAGCCGTTATAATCTCTAGCCTTTGTTTGCGAGGTGTTTGAAATCGTATTGCGGACAAATTTAAAACTCTTACCAGAGTCTTGAGTGATACGTGGTTTCGTATTACGCTGTCTGAAAGCGAGTGAATGACTCGCTTTCAATTCCTACGTCTATTAAATTCGACAGAAGACATTAAAGAAATTAAAATATTTTTGGAAAGGTGATAATCCGTTGTTTATGATAAAAAATTGTTCTCTACGAACCTTCGTCGTCTTCATTGACGTGAAGAAGATTTGTTGTGGAAATCAATTTCTAATTTTTGTGAACGTTTGTGACTGATAATTCACGAAATAAATTCGTCCATAAATGTTCTTCCATCTCAAACATAGGCCAGATGATTTTGATACAGAATTTCAAACCCTTGAACATATTTCGTTAGTTCACGTTTGTATATTCAATTAGATTGATCGATTATTGCCTAGTTACAAACATGCGCTGTCTAGAATTCATCATGTGACATGGCATTTTTAAATGGCATGATAATGAATACAGGAATTATGCAAATGCTTGCATTAATTTCATCTTGGCAAACTGCTACGTTCTGGAACATCGTTCAGAAATCCAAAAAATCTTAGGTAGAAGTGCTTGATTGTCGAACAGGTCTATTCAGGTTACAACACAAGTATCTTGCCATGTTGATTGATGCAATTCCTGTTTAATTATTTTTTGGCCTGACAAACTTTCGGGCGTTTATAGACGCGTGGGGCCTGAAACTATTTTTGTCTTATGTGGTAAAATCATGGATTCCTCAAAGTTTTCCGCAAATCTTTCACAAACAATCTAAGATTGCTCATAATTCGCTCTTTCAGAGCTTTTCTTTTGTTTGGGTACTGCTACACGATGAAAATCGAATCGCCTCCACCATTTTCACAGATGCTTGTTGTTTCATAATCGTCATCGCTCTATCTTTAATTGCGGAAAGGATTATGTTGTGGTTAGTCTGAAAGCATTTTAACTACTTCGCCTTCTTCTTTCAAAATGTTTTGGCTGTGGGAAGGCATGTTACGAGAAGGTGGCTAATTTTATAATGAATGGTTTTGCAGCGTTTGGGTCGAAAAACTGAACGCAGTTATTCTTGCAGAAATAAATTTTATTCCTGCCATTTTAATTGGCATTGTTCCATAATTGAGGCCTTACCTTAGTAAATTAGCATCACAGTGTTTCAAGCTTCAACTGAGGAACTGGTGATAAAGCTTGCCTTACATATTTTAATTGTGCGAAAATATTCACCGTTTTGACTTTGATTTCTCGTTTACGCTTTGCAATTTCGAGAACTACCGCCTTCGTCGTTCCTTTGCAGTCGCTTTCTTAGTTTCTACAAATTTCGAGCGAAATCTCGCTACACGCTCGAAATTGACAACGCCCAAGCTTTGTTCCTGTTATTTTTCTCCAAGCGATGTATGAAGAAAACTGAAGAGTTCCTTTACTCATTTAGACGGCCAAAATTCAAAAAAAACACTAACATCTGAATCATTCAAAAAGTCGGTCTGTCGGAAATCAATTCATTGGTTGCAATTCGAGTCCAGACATTCTCCAAGTATGAAAATTCAAATGATACAGTATCCAATGCCGGATACAACAAAACTTCAACACGATACCAATAAAGTAAAAGAACTTCTATAAGCCGACCAGTAACGTTGAAGAGTGATCCAGTAAGTAAAGAGAATGACACGGAAAAGCATCACGAGCCAGATAGTAGGCAACTGACCACTATGATGGCAATTGTTAAAGTTACCTATAGCCCAAACTTCTAATGATCCAAACATAACGGTAAAACGAAAAACATCAGTACCGTTCGCAATTAGAAGAGAAATTTCAATCAGCTTAATTAGCAATAAAAGCGAATTACACAGCGATGAAAACGCTGAGGTAATGAACCCTACAAAATTCACAGACTGTCATGTGTCTAACGTCATTCATGGTGTTAGACGACTGCCAACAATGGTAACAGAACAAGAGAGAACAGTTGGTCTGTCCACCCTGCAACAGAAATAAGGTAATCTTTTAACCACCACTGTAGCGGCTTTGCCCCACCAAATGTTCATTGGACACTTCAACCAAAGCGAAAACGTCTATTTTTCAAGCAACTTTGAATTTGCCCAGGAAAAAGACCTATGAGCAGAAATTATGCCGCTTATACCTTCATCTTGGCATTACAAGGCCTGCCGAATATCATAAGTAATCATAAAAGATTCTATCAAATGGAGTGCCATTGTATCACTCAATGCTTGCCGTTAAACGCTAGTAATATCAGCAGGAACTTTGGTCCTGCACGAGACGTTATATTATATTGCAATGGGTTATATTGGGCATTTATTCGTTAGATACGAATCACCCCAGTATCAAATACCTAAAATGATACGTCGTTTCAGGATGATTAATTAATAAACTCCCTAATCGTACAGGTTGATAGCGTTGCTTTGTGAATACCTTGATTTCTAAACTGTGAGTTTGAATTTTGGCAAAATTTTGAAAATGGAAACTACATATTGCGCACA